CGATGTTACCGAGAGGAGAAGACACCTCTCCCGACAGGATGCCCTTCACGCTCTCCCCCCCGAGGTACTTGACGTACACCTTGCGCTGCAGCGGGGAGAGGGCCACCCACACCACCATCTTCTCTCGCCGTCATTGCCGCCGTCGCCGATACATTGGGGATTGCCACAGTAGTCCCACATGACAAAAAGAAGAAAAACAACAGCATCCCCCCCCCCCCACGAAAAACATGCTTGGTGATGTGTGCTAGCCTGGTCCGGTCAAAACCCGGCGTGCTCCGTCCCGGCATTAAAGGGATGCCAGGTCAACGGTCTAACGACTACGGCATGCGTTTACATGAGTATGAGTACTCCCTCCCTCGCTGCCAAGGAGAAAAGAGTATGCGGTGTTACCGCGTGCGAGGGATGGACGGGGGAGGGCAGCGGGTACAGGTGCCACGGGACGAACAAAACAACAGTTTATTGGTAGGGGAACTGTACGCTTCCTTTCGGGGGAGGGGGGGGGGTCGGTCTCGGTGCTATCATGTGGTGCTTACACTTCGCACATTGGGTTCTCGCCTGAGTGCGAGGCGCCTGGACGAGACTGCTGTAACGTCGCCATCGCTGTTGCACCACATAGCGGGCTCCTACGTAGCGCCACTAGCGTGGCAAAAACGAAGGTTGCTGCTGCTTCTGCGGCATCTAGACGCCACCACCACCACCGCCACCAGCGGTACACGAGGCCAACCTTCGCTGAACGTGTGACACGTGCATGTGCGCCACCTCGAAACAGAGTGCTCCCAAAGATTTATGTTGTTGTTATTGTTGTGGTCAACCGCTGTGGCAGTTTTGTGATGCATATGTGAAGCTTACCTCGGTCTTGGTGGTAGCCTTCTCGTCCATGATCTCTCCCTTGGTACGCTGTGTGCGGCAAGGCCAGGGGTTTCAATTCAGCGGCAGGCATTTTGGAACAACGGAAATGTCACGAACGGGGTGGGCTTGGGGGGGGGGGGGGGTAGGCAGTGTTGGAAATGCTGCTTCATATGGAACGGGATCGATCTTCGGGGGTTACAAGCGGAGAGGATGGACAACGAGCTTTTCAGAGACAAGAATGCAGCCAGCGGCAGTAGAAAAGCGAGAGAGAAACAGAGAGACATAGACAGAGAGATTCAGATAGCTACCCACAGAACTACCGGCCGAAGAAAAACAAAGCACGACTAGAGGCCAATCACACCAGGAGATATCCAGCAGGTGTATCACGAGTTGTTAACCTTGTATCTTTACAGCAGTACTGTACCCTGACGATCCCAGAACCGCTCTCAACTGTACGCCAATGGCGACACGCGACACACGATAACAAACAGCGTCATGATCGAGACGCTCGAAAGGCAGCCCTCTGGGAGAGGCAAAAGCGTAGCTACGCCTCGACGAGGGCCTAGGCACAGAGACGTAATCGTTGTACCCTATTTTGGCCATCACAGAGAGTAGATACCCTTTTTTGACCGTCACCGAGACAACACACCTTATTTTGACAGTCGCCGAGAACAGAATAAATCGCTGGAAGAAGAGAAAGAAAGACAGAAGCAGACAGACTCACCTGCAACAGCAAGGGCTCGAGCATCTGCCTCAGCTCCGCCGCCCGAGCCCTGGATCTCAGGACAGCCTTCTCGGACGCATCGCGGTCCTGACCGTACTCGATAGGCCTCGAGAACCTGGATCGTCGTTGGTGTTTGTTATTATTAATAGTAGCTCATTGCTCGAGTTACACAGTGTTTTCGAGCATTACGACGTACCGTAAGGCAACTGGCGTTGTCGGCCCAACACAACTCATTGGTAATAGGGAAAGAGGCGGAAGGAGGGAAGAGCGGGTGACGTGACGGTAGTGGGGGGGGGGGGGGGGCGTACTCTTATGCTTTGCATGCCTTAGCGGTTAGACCATTGACCACGCGTCCTCGAGAGGACGGAGCATTGTTCCCACAGGACCGATCACCGATGGCCAATCGTTCCTTCCTACTTTGCCAAAGGTGGCTCAAAAATGTCTTCCCTAGTCTGTCTATCCTACCGATGTCACTTCCCGCCTTTTCAAACCACTTCCTACTCCCCAGTACCGCTACCGTCCTCTCCTCTCTATTCCATGCCTCAAACATCTCCCTGTACGTCCCTTGTATTCTTCCCAGCTCAGTCATGTACACTTCCCTCTCCTTTTCGTACCACGGACATTCCGCGACTACATGAACACTGTCTTCGCATTCGAAGCCGCAATCACATTTGAACTTGTCGTCTTCGTCGTCTACCGTCCTATGTCTTCGTCGACGTTCGCGAAGGCCTATGTCCCCGGTCCTGAATTTGACCTTAAGCTTTGTCCCTGCATCCATTGGTCCATGTAGGTAATCCTTGAACCCTATTCCTTCTTTCAACATTCCGTACACTTCTAGACCCTCCTTATCCTTGGATTCTTTCCTTAGATTCTGTTCTTCTCTGTCGGCACAAGCAACAGATATCTTCTCCTTGAACCCCTGTAGACCCTCCGTTTCCAGCGTTTCATCTTCGTCGATGTCCAATCCCTTCCATACGTCCTCTACAACCTTGACCCATTCCGTGGGTTGTCTACCCCTCTTTTTATTTGCCCACTTCGCCTCCCATACTATTCTCGGCAACCTCTCCTCTCCCATCCCGCACATGCGGTACTGCCATGTCAGCTTCCTTACGTCTCTTCCCGACCGTAGGGATTGGATCCCCAATTCTGCCCTGACTGCTGCATTACTTGTGCGCTTGGAGCATCCTAGGATGATTTTCGCTGCTTTCATCTGCGCCGCCTCGAGTTCTTTCACTACCTTCTTATTTCCTTCCCATACTTCTCCGGCGTACTCCAGCGGCGGTACGATTACGCTCTTCAAAACCGTCAATTTGATGCGTGTATCAAGGTGCCGGTTTGCGAGTATTGGGTGAAGCTTCCCTGCTCGTGCTTTGCCCTTTTCCGCTACCTTGGACATGTGTGCATTCCACGAGCAATCTTTTGCGATCTCTACTCCGAGGTATGTGTACTGGTCGACTACTGCAATCTCCTCGATCCCCCACTTCCATCTATGTTCTACTGGTTCCTCCCTGCCCTCGTTGCATACCATGACGGCACTCTTCGTAACGTTGGCAGACAATCTCCACTTATCAGTAAACTTCTTCGCCGCGTCAATTTGCAGTTGCAGTCCCTCAGGGGTGTCCGACATACCAACAAAATCATCCGCAAACAGCATTCCTGACACCGAAGTTTCCGTGTCCCCTACTTTTACTCCCTTCCGGACTGCCTCTACGACTTCCAACAGATCGTTGATGAACACCTGGAACAATGTTGGGGACAGCGTGCAACCTTGTGGGACCCCTTGCTCAATGTCGAAGAATTTAGACAGTTCTCCGTCTAGCATGACCGCGCTTTTCGTACACTCTGTCATCTTCTTCAGCACCCTCCACATTTTCCCCTTGATCCCGTACTTGGACAATTGTTTCCACAGCCCATTTCTCCATACGGTATCGTATGCCTTTTTCACGTCCAGGAAGAAGCAGTACGTCCGCTTGCCCGCCCTCTTTCTACCTTGGATGATTCTCCCTACCGTGAATGCGTGGTCTACGCACCCCCTCTTCTGTCGGAAACCTGCCTGGCCCTCACTAATGCTACGTTTCTTCTCCAATACTCCCACTATCCTATCGTTCAGCAGCTTACAGAACACTTTTCCTACTGTGTTCAACAGTGTGATACCCCTGTAGTTTCCTGGGTCAGTCTTGTCTCCTTTCTTAAACAAGTTCACAACCACTCCTTCCCTCCATCTACTTGGCGCATACTCGTTTTTCCACACCCAGTTGTACAGCAGTACCATCAGCTGGATCATCCCCTTGCCCCCAAACTTCATGAACTCGTTTACTATCCCATCCGCCCCTGCTGCTTTGTGGCACTGCAGCTTGTTCACACACGCCTCAACCTCGTCCTCAGTGAACTCCTTTTCTAGTTCTACGTTCCCAACGTCTGCCTTCGATGTCTCTTCTTCTTTCTGGGCCCATGCGTCCACCTCCTTCTTAAACACTTGGTCAAAATCTTCATTCTCCGAAGGCACTCCAAGTCTCTTGTAGTGTCCTGCTAGAACTTCCCTTTTTCCCTTCCCACTGCTGACTAGTCCACCGTTCACACCTCGCAATGTTGCTACCCCTGTATCCCCCCCTTGCGCGGTCTTTTTTACCAT